TAATGGACAATTTGAACATCTTAGACGTCGCATAAAGTATGTGATGTCATATCTAGCCTCTATTTTTGTCATGCATTACAGAAGTTTTAGGGATATCCACACCATTATGAAAAAATACAATTTGAACGTCTAAGATATTTATAGATATATAAGAAAAAATTAATTTACACGATGTTACAGAGAGAAAAAAAACAGAATTGGAATGCCTGATTTATTTTCTTTCACTTTCCGTTGTAACCTGGATCAAAATTCAGGACCCAGTTTAACTGTTCCAGGCTATATATTTACTCGTGAATAATTCATGTGACTATATATTATCCGTCGAATCCTACCGTGTGCTTTGAGAATAATTTAATGCATACGAATAAAAAAAAATATTTAGAAAAGCAAAACAAATCTTAGAGTAAATAAAAATAATAACATAACTTAACTTGAAAGCAGCTATCAAGTATGTTGGTCTAAACGACTTACAAAACAGATATTTAATTTTACGAAAATTTGTTTTGAAATTGTATAAAACTTGCTTGCTTCCAGTAGAGTAACAAATAGTACTATTGTTACTGCTGCTGCTACTACTACTACCAATTCTCTACAAGATCAGATAAATTTTAATAAAACAAAAATTATTTATATAGTTACGTTTATTTCTATACACTTTAAACCTTCAAGACAATACAAATAATATTTAGAGACCCCGAAATCAATTTTCGTCCACATCAGGGCTATTACAAAAGTAAAACAAATACAAGAGAGACAAATATACTTTTATATTTGTTTATTGTGTTATTATATGAGCTACAGCAGCAAATCTTTGACATATCGATCAATAAAATAATTACAATTGCTCAACAACAGAAATCTTAAACTTGGGCATTTAGCAAGGTGGAGATAATTCTGCACAGTCCTCGTAAGTTCAACGTGTCAATTGACACAGGTGTCTGATTTTCCTAATTTATGTGCAAGACACACAGGTTAATCAAATATTATTTTAGTCTTCATAAAACATTGAATCGTGACCGAACATAGAGACGTGTTATTGTGTATCAGCAAACAGTATTCCCTAAAAGGGAAGTGTATAAATGCTTTCTTTGATATTAAGCTTGAGGTTAAGCTCTTTATATATATATATATATATATATATATATATATATATATATATATATATATATATATATATATATATATATATATATATATATATATATATATATATATATATATATATATATATATATATATATGTGTGTGTGTGTGTGTGTGTGTGTGTGTGTGTGTATTTACCAAGTCCTTCTAATGTATGTGGCCCTCTTAAGGTTTGGGGGCTCGTAAGTTTGGTGCAATGGACTGCTTCTCTTTTTATCACCATTAACCTAATCACACTATTCTTTCACCGCAGCAGACCAGTCAGTTAGCAATTGAGAGTGGAAATTATAATGCACACAAGTCCTTATGTTTTTTTATTCATTTATTTATGTATTTATTTATTTGATCTTGTTTTACTATCCTTGGTAATGTACTAACAAGAGACCGTCGTCAAAGATAATTGAAGGTATACAACTCTGTAATATCTAATTTTGATTTTGTTATTACCATCAGAGTTGCCTCTCTTTTCATTAAGAAGCACCAAACATACAACATGCGTGAACATACATACATACATACATACGTACATACATACATACATACATACATACATACATACATACATACATACATACATACATACATACATACATACATACATACATACATACATACATACATACATACATACATACATACATACATACATAGTGTTTCAAAACCAAATAAATTTGAAAATTGAAGATAACAGCTCATGTGAATGTCCATGACTGGATATCGAAACTGGCATTTGAAAGAATGGTTACTCTGTTATCAACAACTTGAACTAATAAGGCTATTATTAAAGCGTGACGAAACACAAACTTTAGAATCAGAGTGTTTACACGTATAAAAACAATGTCTTAAGAATACTTTTTCTGCGTATTTCCTTCAGAATAACATTCTTCGTTGAAAACTAACTTTCAATGTCGTCTTTTATATCAATAAAAATGAATGAGATGTAAGTCTCTAAATACTGATATTTCGTCACATTTTCACCTGGAATATTTTTCTTTTCTTATATTTTACCTTAAAAGTAGGTACGAGCACATGCATAAAGACAGCAACTAATATAATAATACACCAATCTGGTATTCCAGATGATACTAACAATTCAAATATGCTTTCTGCATTTTGATAATGGTTCTCTTAAAATGTTTTCAGAAAGCACAAATGCAACGCATCATTCGCTACAAAAAACTTATCTCTTATCTGACCACAGCTTCGCCTGACGGACGCCGCACAAGGAAATACCTCAATATTTTTAGCATATCCAAATTAATTATGAAATAACCACAATAATAATATGATATATCCGTTTTGGATGAAATAATTATTTAAAAGAATTGTTGTTCAAACGAACGTAATTATGTGGCAGGTACACAAAAGGAAATGACGGTAAATTCAACCCGAAAAAAGAAGACGGAAGCGACTTGATAGATTATGAATGTCATTTACGTCTTTTATGCAATATCTTTTACTAATATTGCAGCATCTAACTTTACGGATATCCAGGTTTAAGCGAATTTGTATGTTTTGGGTAGTTATCGACCAACATCAACAAAATTGTCCTCGTATTTCTATTCATTTCGGTCCAGGAAACCTCGATACCTCTGTTACTTGAACGTCGGCTTGTAATTCACAGTTCGCGAATTTGATACACGGCTGCCTCTGTGTATCCTTGGCAAAAACTTAATTTTCATTTCCTTGGCATGATATAGCTATTATTGTGTTACGAGTGGCTTTCAAAGCATAACGACAAACATCATTTTAGTCAACTGGATATAACCGATCCGTAACTCATTCCGTTTCTTGTGGCACTGTCAATTGGACAACAGCACTGCTAGCAGACATCAAGTTCTATTCCGGAATCAAATATATTTTCTTTCAAAAACGTGTGTAATATGATTCAGTGTATTTATATGTTTGGTATGATTTGAATCTTGTAATGAGCACAGGACGAAGGCGGCCATTCTCCAGATCTATTTTAAATCACGCCAAAACGGAAAGCCATACGTACATAAAACTGTAAAAGTTTTATATATTAGAGATCTTTTCATTCTTTACGCTTGAAGAAATTATACGTATTATAATTATAGGTCATAAGTATTCGTCGTTTGGAAATCATAAAACTCCAAGTCTTGATAACTACACCATTAGTTGCTTTTGAATTTACATTTCGTTGCTAGTATAGTGTATATAACTGTATCGTTCTTTATTCAGCGGGAAAATAGAATGCTGGTGTTCGGTAAATATGTATCAGTAACACGCAGAACTAAAATAGTAAAATGATTATTTATATCGATGCAATCACATGACAAAAGAATCTGATGCTATCGCATGTTAATCCATGCAGGTGATATCGAATAATTATCACTGCAGGTGATATCGCATGTTAATCCCTGCAAGTGATATCGCATGTTAATCCCTGCAGGTGATATCGCCTATTAATCCCTGCAGGTGATATCGCATGTTAATCCCTGCAGGTGATATCGCATGTTAATCCCTGCAGGTGATATCGCATGTTAATCCCTGCAGGTGATATCGCATGTTAATCCCTGCAGGTGATATATTTGTCATGATATCTTTCATCATCCACATTATGAGTGATGATTTAATTTGCTGTTACAGTTTGAAACACACACACACACACACACACACACTCAACAAAAACAAATTACCTAAAAAGTAATGCAACATTCTGCAAATATACAAATTAATTGTATAATACTTTTAAAATCAGTCTCATTTTGCTTAAGACACAAAACAGCCCGGATCATAAAATCCATTAGAAGGATGAAAAACTTATGGCAATATTAGGCTGTCATAGTCATAACGAGATTGGCATACATGATAAATACTACCTCTTTTGCGATAATTAAACAAGTCACAATTGCAATGTGTTGACAATTAAGTCGGCAAAGTGGCAACTATATCTACTTCAGGTACTATATCCTGGCAACATTTCATTACGACACCATAAATATATCAATTTTGCTCATGTACACGACATATTCATCACGTATGTTATAAAAATAGCTCGTCATGATATTTAATGCTTCCATATAGACTGTTTGCTAGTATGTATAAAATATGAATAGAAATTTATGTGACAATTACATCCTCCTTTACTGGATGTTTCCCCGATACAAATTTTTGCACGGCGTTTCTTTGCAAAACCCATTGGTTGATCTATTTATCAAAGTTACAGTAGAATGTAACGAAAATGAAAAACTATTTAAGGTAGTTTTGCTACATGAATTCAGAATATTTCATATTATCATCGCCTTATTCAAAACTGGAAAAGATGTCATTGTGCTATAATCAATCAGATCTTCATTGTGCCCAAAAATGACGAAGCAATTTGTTTTCGATGATCATTAAGTATGGTAGCCAGTCAAACTTTGCGCATTGAAATGCTGCGGGAGCATTAACACACGGACTACGTTATATTTAATTTGTTTGTCATTCTAAACAATGACACATCACTGCAGTTTGTTGGATTAGGTGAGAAAGAGAGATAGAAAATACTACAGTTGATTATTTTGTTCTTTTAGTTGACCTAGACTAAATTGACTGGTATTCGACGTCGTCGAAATCCCATATTGTGTGTGTGTGTGTGTGTGCGTGTGTGTGTGTGTGTGTGTGTGATTTGGATTTTTAACGTAGCTTTAATCATTTTTCAATCGATATCTGCAGTATGACAGTTTGCAGAGATATATAATATCTAGCACTGGGAGGTCATGCTGCAGACATGTAGTATCATGTACCAACCAGTCACATTATCGTAACACCAGTCTGACCAGTCCTAGCACTAACCTCTTAATGCTAAGCGTTCACGAGGCAACTACAAGTACCATTTTGATCAGTCTTTGGTATGACTCAGCCGAGGTTCAAACCCGCGATCTCCCGCATCTGAGGCGGAAGCTCAAACCACTAGACCGTCGGAGCGGTCGATTTTAGCGGGACATACGTGTCAAACTGATAAATGTGTTTCATACCTGAGTGATTAGAAACTTCGAGCACAGAGTGAACAGAACACAAAAGAACACTTCATTCACCTGAAATATTTCAACCCACTACTAGCTTTGGGAACATATGGGAACAATTCCGTAAATGACAGATATTTATCTGTATTTAGATACTTTACCATGTAATAAATAGTCCATGTTGTTATTAGAGAATGGTTAAGACATAGTAAATTTATATAAATATTGTGGTAAATATGCATCAAATTTTAGTAACACCAGTAGTACCGGATTTGGGACAAATGAGGCCTATGCTAGTTAAGTTATGAGGCCTAATACAATGAAAAATTCATGGTAATTTTTTTGCCAAGAAAATGTGCTCCGTGACCAACACCTAAGCATAATGGTAAATCCGGTACTGAGTAACAAATATCTTAAATGACGTAAATAAATTAAAATTAAAATGACCTTCAGGTAAAATGGCATAAAGAAATGAAACAAGAAGCGCTATCTTAAACATTTGTTACTCGTGTTAACTAATTTAAGTAAAAATGAATGACACTGAAAAAGAAACAATGAATATGGACAGGTACAAACAACAAACATTGTTAAAAAATAAACAAACCCAAACTATCCTTTTTGAAAGGAAAGTTTGTGTCTACATTATTCATGCAGACAAATTCATAACACCTTTTAAAATTTTAGATAACATCAGGTTTTGAATAATTTCTTGTGGAAAATAATCCCCGAAGATACTTAAAATGTTGTCTATTGTAAAAAAAAAATGGAGTACAGGTAAGCGAATATACCTCGTAAACAATGTAAAACAAGTCCTGTGGATCAGCAGAAATCAATATTGTCTTGATGCAAGAAACACATTTATAATAATTTCAACCATATTTATCCTTACACATTATTTTTATAGAATTATACAGATTTTAGAGGATGGGATTTGTTTGCAAATTTATAACATTAAAATACAAACCTCGGTCATTCTAAAATCAATATAAGTACCAAGTGATTTTCTTCCCAGCTCACCAGACAACATGCATATAGGAGTGCTCTTCGAGAGTTTTGTAAAGATTCATAGAAATTCATTTCCGAAATTCTCAAAAGTCTTGGTGGCTACAAAGCCAAGATTTCACAATTGTACAGAAGAACTTCAGACCTGAACAGCAGATTTTGTAATACTATATTATACAAGAGTTGTAGTGATAAGACATTTAGACATTTAGATTGTGCAAATTACGTACACCGTTCACGTAAATGTGAATGTGAATGTGTGAACATAAATGCCATAGTACAGTTGATCTCGTCAGTCCGACTTTTGTCAAATCTACTATTGTCAAAATATAACACACAGAATAAATATTGTTATTAAAATTAAATCAAAGATAAAATCATTTAATCCGTCCTTGTGACTGAATTAAAATTTATTGAGGTGAAAAGTCTGGGATCTATCGATGATACTAGGCAAGTTGCATTCTTGGGGTATTAGCTAGATGATTGTTTTGGACTAACTGAAATCCCATTTCAATTATAGCGTAAATGACATGAAGAAATGATTTCATGCCGGCTAATCGATTTAGCCCAGTAAACGATTTAGCTAGCATTCCATTGGTTGGCTAAATTAGTATGCCTAACAATATTCAATCGATAATGTGACAATATTTAATTAGACATTTTAACCAAATTTGTTTAATGAAACACTATTTCGATATTTTCCGTAAATTATACAGTCTAGAATTTTTCCAATACAAACCTTGACAATGACATGAAATGAGACGCACAAACAAATTTATTGATACAACGTTTATTTTGTGCATACATAACATCACTAAGCTGCTTGTTGAATTGGGTCACATTTACACGAATGGATGTGACATTTGCTCTATGCAAATCATCTTGCTCATGTTGCTATGAATAATTTAGTCAGTTAATAGAAGCTGATGTGCTGTTTTGGTGTCAAGACCTACTTCGTCGTGAATAAAGCTATCTTAAAATTATGTCCACTTGTTCGCTAACGTCTGCTTGACCTGACTAGAGGCAACAAAGTAACTACCATCTAAATTGAGTCTAATTATCCGTACTGCCCATACCGGACGATTAACATTGAATGTTTAGGAGTCTTGTTCTGGTGATATTTCGAATAGCCAATGGAAATGCAGCATGATACTTTTATGAAAAAGAAAGTGATTCAAATGGTTCGGCACATTGATGATCTTCAGCAATAATGATCAGTCACCCAAACGCGAAGACATAAAACTTCATCTGACTGGTTAATAAAATTAGCAATTATAATAATAACAGAGGTCACCAGAATGTGACCCCTAAGCTGTCTCATTCAGATCTTCACATAGGACAGAGGAGATCTGATTTTAATCAGATTGATACCCCACCCTAATACAGCTATTTTTGCGACAGAAATGAAAACAAACCTTAAACAACTTCTCAATTATAAACCATGGCTATGTCAGGAAAAGGAACACGCCGACGCAAATCATTTTGTTCTCGGTCTCGAAATTTCACACATAAAAGGCCAAACAATAAAATAAGAATTTCGAGACAGATGAAAAGTGGTCTACCGAAAAAACAACGAAAAATCTAAGCTGCTTGCACGCATGTACTGGAAACGAAAGATGTACTGATGAAAAGAATGCTAAAATTAATAGTATGCCGAAAATACAATTCTGCGCTCAGGTATAGTAACCTTGTGGGTCTTGAAAGTCCAGTTATCAGGATCGTATAGGCATTACAGTTGAGGAAAAATCTGGTTACAATCAAGCAATATCGGGAAAAGGCCTTAAATTAAATATATGGGGCAAATATAACATTAAATACCATAAGGCATATAATTCTATCATGAAATGAACAAGAATATTCTAAACTGAAACAATTTTTTTATGGTGTAGCCAAACGATGATATCGATGGTCACACAGAAGGCCACTGATAGATTGTATTGATCATTATGTAAGATGAATGTTATCAGAAGCGATTTCTTCTCCTCACAAGAAAATATTAATTTATAAAACAAGTATCAATAAAAGGAATCGAAAAGGATTGCAATCAGTGTTTTATATTTTGATTTTCGTGCTCATTTCGTCTATTAAGACTTATTGAAAATTCGACATTTTTTTTCCTTATTTTGGACTAGCTTCATTTCTTGGGTCGCTGTCAATTTACGGCCACTTTAATTTAAAACTGACTGATGGTGAACTTACTGACAATGGCCTATGGACCGTTTTGTCATCGATGGCAATCGGATCAGAGGAAACGCACGTTGCAAAACTGTGTCATCCATGTGAACAAAAGCCTTAATGAAATTCTCCCTTTGAATGCAAGATGCGGGAACAAAGATGTCAAGAAGGAAAACCAAATCCCAACGTCAGTATATATTCTTCATGAATCACAGGTAAGAAAACTATTTAAGAGTTTATTGCTACGATCACACTCTTCAGAGTTGTAAACTGGATATCAACATGGCAAATAAATGACAGACCCACATAATTTTCTCTAACATGAAAAATCAGTAATTATTTCCGTTACTGGATATTTCATAAAACCATTCATTAGTTGCGTTTTTATTTTGTACTGGGATAGTATATGAATAAAATATGATGTTTCTGCTTTAGGTCCTGAGATAGTATATGGATAAAATATGGTATTTATGTTTTATGTACTGAGATAGTATATGGATAAAATTTGGTGTTTTTGTTTTAGGTACTGAGATAGTATATGGATAAAATATGGTATTTATGTTTTATGTACTGAGATAGTATAAGTATAAAATATGGTGTTTCTGTTTTATGTACGAGATAGTATATGGATAAAATATGGTGTTTCTGTTTTATGTACTGAGATAGTATATGGATAAAATATAGTGTTTCTGTTTTAGGTACTGTGATAGTATATGGATAAAATATGGTATTTTTGTTTTAGGTCCTGAGATAGTATATAGATACAATATGGTGTTTCTGTTAATATTCTAAGTATTTTACATCATAGTATTTAATTTTTATCATAGTAACTAATTCCTTTTTTCCTTTATGTATACTTAAGGATTTCATGTAGAATTGTATTGCTCTATATTTTCGTTGTGCCTGGCAATGGTATAGGTTGCTATAGACCACATATCTCTTAATGTGTTAGGACATCTCGACATAGTTTTGGCATTTGAGTACGACAAATAGTCTTATTTGTTACATCTCAATTCTAACCAAATCGACAATTTGTCAAAGCCGACTTCTAATATGTGCCAATTTGTTACAGCTAAATTCTTACAAATGTGCCAGTTTGTTATATTCAAGTTCTTACCATATTCATTAACATCACAAACTTGTGCAACGTTGTAAGAACAAGTATAAGGTGTGTTTGTGCATTAGAAAAAGAACTAAAATGCGTACAGAAATAATTATTTGACGATTTTCTAGTATAAAATATGCATCATTCAGGGAAAAATAGAATGCTGTGAAGCATCGATTCTCCAAGAAACATAGATAATACTAATTTTTTTTATTTATCACCAAAAATGCTTTCAGGAACGACAAAATCAGCAGCAACATGAATAACAGACACAAAACTTAATATCATGATGCGTTAGAAAAAAAGAATTTATTAAATGTACAACCTGCTAGAGTAAAGAAAAAATAAAAGCTTGAGAATGTCTAAATACCATTAAAAAAGCTTGTTTATATCTGCATATAAAGTCAAAGATTCACAAGCAATTAATTCATAAAAAAAATTGACATCTTCAGTATTAAAAATGAAATCTGTGAGTAAAAGAGAAACAATCGGCAAACTTTGGTGAAAGCGTAACTGTTTAGTAATATTCATATTTGACAATGTATTTAACGTTTCAATTACATACACAATAAAAATAGAGAAGGCTATCCTTAAGCTTTAGTCATTAAGCTAAGGACTTCATCAGCAGACTGATCTGATCTCTACTGGCCGTCAACACTGAAAGCTCGTCTGAGG